ATTTATGGAAACTTTTCCCAGTCCGCTTGCACTGGAAACTCTGGAATTGGGCAATAAAAAGTAGTGCTCAACAATAAAATCGAGTATTTCCCCGATGGCAATATCGTACAACGGTATATCGTTCTTTAGTCCGGTCGTAAAATTGCCAACTGAGAAAAACGAAAGAAAATGCTGAAAACGGAATGGGAGATTATTTTATGAAATTATTAAGGCGATAACGGGAAGAGAAGCGATAAACTAGCACAAAGGTCTAGTCCTGTCTTGAAAGGATTTGTATGGATTGTCCATTCTAGTGCTAATTAAACCCCCAAACTACCTGCAGACATCAAATCCCCAACAGCAATGTGATAATGTGATTATTTCCTGATAAGCAAGCAGATGGTCGAACTTGAGACCCGATTCAAAAATACGGTCACCCCCAAATTTTAAAACCTGTATGTTATTTGTCAGATGCAATTTATTTCAGACGGTTTGTTCGAGGATTACGGCCTTTGAAACGCACCCTTTTTGATTTGCTGTTAAAATGTGAAATAGGAGAAAATCAACAGCAGATGCCGACAGCATAAAATTCTACCAGAACATACGTACATCATTTTATCAGTTATTCATTCACCAAAGACGCAAAATTTAAATTCAAGCCCAACTTGCCCTTTTCCTGCCCGTTTTTACAGGAAAAACTTGGAACGCTGATCAACACGTTGATCGCCTTAAAATGCACTATTTGACGACTGTTCTGACGAAGCTGAAATGCGTTTTAGGGATTCTTCCACTGGACTATTATCACAAAGTCCCTTTTCCGCAAGCATCCTCGTAAGCATGTTATTAGTTTTCAAACTAATACACTTTTAGCGCCTCTGTTATCAGATTGGGCGTTAGTTGGCTGCAATGCTCCAACTTTTTTCACCTCATAAATGAGTACGTGTCGGGGAATAAAATGAAGCTAATGAGAACACATTGGCTTACTTTCTGCTAGTTTTCGAACAACATGTAATTTAAATTTCAACAGAAAGTCCGCAAATTCTATGTAACTAATTCGTAGTAATCAGCGCCAGCTTGGAAAAGTTAAGTCGCCCTTTTGTTGCATTTTCTAGTTAACTGTTTATTCGCTTCATGGCTACGAAGTCATCAGGAATATTTAAGGGTTTTCTTTCGTAAAAAATACCACAAACCACAAAATCTTCTGGGCCGATTTGGCGCTCCATAGGTCCCCTATAAACATTAGCAATCCTTTTATTCCAAGTTCGAACTGTCGGGAATAAAAATGCCATCATCTGCCGCCTTCTTTTTTTCTTTTCCCAACTTGGGACTTGCCGAAGGGCTCAAGATTAAGCCATTGAATATTTATCATGCATGGCAAGCTTATTTCGAACTGACAAGAATAGAATGGGAACGGAATATGTGACATAAAGAGAATGTAAACCAGTCCTTCTTGTATATGTATGGAAACTTAACGTCTTCCCAGTGGTTGATAAAGACGTGAAAAACTGTTGAAGTAAAGGGAATTTGCAAAACGTGTTGGCTGGGAGAAGGAAATGTACGTACGCAGGAAATTGCATTGATGGCTAGATAGAAAATAATGGTGGTGAAATGGTGCTAAACCTAATTAAGTTTAGGAACATCGTTAGTGTTTCAATGCTAATATCCTTGCAGTATCCTTGCAAAGGTTATTCCTACAGGAAAAACTATAGCGGTCGTTCTATGCAGAGTCTCTCTGCAGGGCATTCCTCTATCAAGTTGGTCGTTCGGATGAATGTGCAAATTCTATTTTTCAATAGCTGCGAGCTTCCATTAGGTATAGGAACATCTGCTGTGCAATCGTGTTGCACAACATGTTTAAACATTAGGCACCCATTCTACCTTTTCGGTATCGCGGGATCTCCCCTTTTCAAATCCGAGGCTGATTCAGTAACTTTTTCAACTCGTCCAATAAAATTTTCAGAATGACAAGTTTCGTGACACTATAAAAGGTGGAACTTTGCTTTTGTTTTATGTCCGCGTCACTGAGAACAAAGTCCGCCGATGTTTTATCATTTGGGGCCCCGGTAAGCTCGCAGCACGAACTCTGTATAGGAAAAAGGGTGACTAACGGTGCGGTAAAACTTTTATGAAAAGCCCGAAGTGCCGTATTCAGCCCTTGTGCACTTAGGTGTCGAAAATAGGGTTGCCCATAAAGGGCATTTTTTAATCGGTGTCGATCAACCGGCAAAATTATGGGCTGCTTTTTCGTAGGGCCTGGGATTCAAATGATGGTAATTGCCTTTGGGCAAGAGCTTGACCCTCAGGGCCCGTTTAGATGGATATGGGAAACACTCCCTAGTGCGTCATTTCAAAATACTCAAAAAATCAGACACCAAATGAGGTTCGGCAAACAAAATAAATAAGAAATTAACGAACGCAAAATTCCGGAATTTGAAGCGATATCCGATTACATCGGCTCCTTGTACGTCTCTCGTGTTTTTTTTTCGTATAGAATACCAGCTGTCTTTAGTAATACTTAAGCAGGAAAAAGCATATCTCCCGCAGGCCTGCGAACCCGGCCTACATGCTGAACACGTACGCTTCGGCATCATCGCTGCTTCGGTAATTACTATTTTCAGTTTCCAATTGTGAATGATAATGGGCTTTTAGGGACTTTTCTCACGATGCTGTAGCGTTTACATAATATATCAGGACCATATCGTGCATATAAGTTACATGCAAGTGTAAGCTTGTTTTAATTGGCCAAAATGAATAGGACATAAGCAAAACTATTCAAAACGGTAATTCAATTGCAAAACCTTTATAAAAGATGTGGTCTACACCAAACATTTGTACTTCAAAAAGCGACACTGATATTGATCGACTGGGTGTTAAAGTCCTATGAAGGAAAGAAAATTTAATCTTCCTGGGAATATTTGAACGAAGTTCTGGCTCAACTGGGAAGGGAAAGAATCCCTTAACTTTTCTTGCACCACGCACAACGAACTCGAAAATCAACAATTTCAGAACGAAAGAAACATGTGAATCCAAAAGAAGTTATATTATAAACGGATGCAAAGAATGTATAAACTATTATACATAATACATTCTAGAAATAAACTAACTTTAGCAATAGCGTACCCATTTTGTAACATATGGAACAAACAGAACCAAAAAAGAACCACCATTTTGTATCCACTACAAAATGGTGTGTCGAGGTGCGTGCAACTACTACGTACACATAAAATTTATGCTATAATATTTTCATATAATTATGAATGGTACAAGATTTTACAAAGAGCACAAAATTGTGAATAGATGATTAGTGCATCAACCAAAAAAAAAAGAATTGATTCCATCGACCAAATAAAAAGTTCTGGTAGTCTTTGTACCATGACACTCGAGAATTCACCACTGGTCCAAAACGGCTGAACTCGATTGTTTCATCAAACCTTGAGTCTTACATAGGAACAAATTCAGACCGAGTTTCACCAAAATACATCGTACCATTCTCCCGATATTTCCAAAAAATAATTTTTTTGAACATCAATAGCAGAGGAGCCGGACATTTTTTGTTGATAAAGGTTAAGTCTGTCTGTAAGTTGTCTTCTTTTGAATCAGAGAATATCGCAGTACCCTTTTGATCATGTGCTAACGGGAGACCTTGTATATTCGGTACATTTCTAATGGCATTTTTTTCTTAAACAATTGACATGCATATCAAAGAGATAAGTTAGTAAAACTCGGGTGACTCAAATTCGCAATTGGAAGGCCAATCCAACCATATTAAAGAAATTAGGGATTGGCATTTAAACTACGAAAGTTTCATTTAATACTTTTCGTTCGCCCTGTATAGATGGCGGGCTAAATGTAGTTTTAAAATACAATTTTACATAGTTGCTGCACGTCTCGTTATGAAAGCAAACAAAATTTAACGTTTGTAAGCAGGGGCGGATCCAGCCAGTCTTCTGTTATCTATGAAATTAGAAAAATGATCGTCGTTTCGTGCAAGGGTGGCGCAAGATTAATGAAAAATTTCATGTTTTCCGTCCCGTTTTGCATGTTTCTCGGAAGCAAAATGAGCAAGAACGCTCGTTTTTACATCATTCCAGAGACTAAATGGCCTTTATTCGAAGTTCGTCAAGAATCATTTGAGCCACAGAATTTGTTTTGGCATCGTTGGATAGAGAATTGAAAACTCGATTGAGTCGTAACAACGTGAGTGAGCAAATTCGAATAGTTTTGACCCAGAAAGCCAAATTTGAATATCACACACTTAGGTGCAAGATTATGGCAAAATTCCATGTTTTCCGTCCCATTTTTGCTCATTTCTCGGAGGCAAAATGAGCAAGAACGCTCATTTGTAC